TGTTTTATGGTCTTATGGTCTTAAATAGCAATGTAACCAGATAGCAGCCTTCATAACATTGATTTGTTAGAATTAGATTTAGATTATATTGTCACGTGTACTCAAGTATAGGAACACAGGAGGACAGTGAAAAATGTACAAAATTGCCAGTCTCTGGCACCAGTTTAGAATACAGAAAAGAGGCTTAAAAATAGAAGAAGAAATAAAAGAAATAGCCAAAAGGAAAGGAAATGTCCAGATCACTCCCCCACATCCGCCATGAGGTCCTTGCTGCCAGAAAAAGAAAGCCGCAAAGTCCATCCCACAGTCTACAAACATTCAGGTGCTCTGAGTCTCCACAAGTTACCACAGCCAGAACACCACCGCCTCGGCCAGGGCAACAGTAGACCGCTTAATCCTCTTTACCCACCTGAGAATGCAGTTGAAGTCTTAGTTTACCATTTCATCTGAAAGACAGTATCTCGCTGACAGTCCAGTCCTCCCTCAGTAATGCACTGAAGTACCAACCCAGATTTTACAATCACACCTGTGGATAACCAGTAATGTGTGAGTCAGCAATCATAGTGCTACCCCCTGAATAATAGCTGACACACAGCAGAGAGTTAGGGGAGAAAAGGCTGCAGAAAGGAGCAGATAAACTAATGGAGAGAAAAGACAGAGGTAGGAACAGCTAAGTGAGTGAAAATAGAGAATTAATGCAAAGAGGCTTCAGAAGGGCAGCAAGCCTAACAACAGGCATAAAAAGGAACTAATGCTAAATGCAGAAACATGGAAGGGAGAAGCAGGGAAATAAAATTGATCCACCATTCCAAAGTGAACTTGACAGTTTGAGCAGAACTCTTGGTCAGAACTGGCATGTGCACTTCCTTGGCAGCTTTGTACATGGCTCTAACTTCAGCAGCCTTTGCAAGACAGCTACCAAACCCGAAAGCTCAACCTTATCAACTCTACTGAACTTGTACTCACCCTCATAATCTCTTTAAATACACATGTTATTAGCTCAGCTCCAGTACCTTGCAGTATTATGATATGGATTTTCACATGATAAAGATGCCTATTAAATGGACGCTCGGTTTTTCACATAACTACAATGCACCTTTAAATGATAATATGGATCTATAATTGTGAAAAATGACCCTTTTCAAAGTCTGTCACATTACTGAAATAATAAGAGAAGTGAAACATTGTTTTCTGTCAGGAGCTCTTTATCTGCAATTGAAGTATTTGAAAAAGAGCCCAGAAGTGACCTCTCTCTCACTTCCTAGATAATGAAGTCTAATGGATCTGGCCCCTGGTTACATGCTAGCAATCAGGATAGAAGTTGCTTCAACATCAATCACAGCATATTTAAAATTCAGAGATAACAAGGTGTAGAGCTGGATGAACACAGCAGGCCAAGCAGCATCAGAGGAGCAGGAAAGCTGACGTTTCGGGCCTAGATCCTTCTTCAGAAAATCAGCTTTCCTGCTCCTCTGATGCTGCTTGGCCTGCTGTGTTCATCCAGCTCTACACCTTGTTATCTCAGATTCTCCAGCATCTGCAGTTCCTACTATCTCTAACAGTAGGCACTTTGTTTTGGGTTTTGGGACTGCAAGCAGCACTCTGCCTATCATAACAGCCAAAGGAACAAAATAAATTACAACTATTTTGTGTAAATAAATAAATATAGACAATGAGTGTGAAGAAAAGAAAACAAAGTTACTCCTCAAGCATGCTTTGTGAAGGGTCTAAGTAAATTATGTCTCATGTATATCAATCATTGTTTCTTTCAGTATCAGAAAGTTGGAATTTCTTTTCCTTCCTGTTAGTTAAATGATATATTGCCTCAGCCCATTCGTTATATCGGAGTGACTCAGTCACCATGATACTACAGTTAAAAACACAAACCATATCTTAGGTTATATGGAGCGATATCCCAGTCTTTAATTTTAATATAATTAGATATGGAAATTCATACTAAAATGTAAATAATAAAAACACGTGCATATGAAAAAAAACTCTTAAAATCAACTTTGTCTCTTCAAAGTGAGTTTCAGTCTCCTATCAGTGGATTCATCAGTATAAGGTGCAGACAGCTACAGAAGACATAAATCAAACTTCCTGCACTGAGCCCATGGTGAACAAATTTGTTTAAATTGAACTTTCCAAAAAATGAGCCAATGCATGCATCACACAAAGGAAAAAAACAGACTGAGGTTATGAATACACTCAATAAAATGTCTTATGTGAGTTGAAACTGTACCAAAAATGTTCTTGTATTTTCATGGCTTAGTTAAAACTATCAATGCCAGAACTAAGGGCCAGTGGAGGAAAATCTGGCTTTCTGTCTTGCCATCTCACGATCTCAAATTCTTTAGCCCGAACATTGCTGTTCCATTACCATGGGATTGAATGAATGTTAATGGCTGAGGTAGCCACACAGTTAAATGTGTAAAGGAGGAGCGATGAAAAAAAAATCACTAAAAATACAGCTTCCACAGTCAAAAGGGAAATCTATAGCACCTTATGAAAGTATATGGGCCTGATTTTCCTCAGCATTCCATTTTGGGTGTGTTGATTTTCTGGACATGAGGCAAGGCAAAAGATGCAGAGATCTATTGTGAAATTTGTCATCCCCTTTCACATCTAATGTACATCAGCCCTGGCCAAGGACTGAATACTTCCTCCTGGATTGAGGGGTGCCCAGCAGTTTTCTCTGACCTCTAAACTGTGCATTTTTTTTTTGTCAGGGCTGAGAAAGAGAAGCATTGAGATTGAAGGTCTGTTTTTATACAGCATCCAGTAAACGTTGAATTTAGCAACCATTCATATTTCTTCCATCTGATTTTGGGTGCACATCTGAAGACATGATTCTAAATTAATGAAAACTGATGGCCAAGATCACCACATTGCTGCACTTCCCAAAGTGAAAGAGTGATTGATTGCTGGCCATCCAGACAGCAAGATCCCACAGATCCTCAGCTAAAACGAAACACTCCTATGCAACTGTGCAGTGTAACTCAGCCACATTACCTCCTCAGGCTCACTAACTACACGCTCTGATGTATAAGTAGGTACACCCTTGCTCGCAAATGGTAAGAAGAATGAAGGATGTGTTGAGGTGCTGAAAGAATTTACTGCTCACCAAATATTGAATGTCAGACCAGCCATCTGTCAGTAAAGGGGAATTGGAAGGATTGATATAGGCTGGGGAGCAGCAGAGCTGTGTGTCTTCAGCATACACATGAATGATGACACCGTGTCTGCAGTTAATATTTCCAATGGACAATATGGGGTTGAGGAAGAGGAGTGGACGTAGGATAGATCATGGGAGACTGTGGAACAAAAGAGTAGCAGTGAGAAGAAATAGTTTCGCTACAATCAGATGGCCGAGACTGAAGTTTCTTTTGCCAATGGTTCTTCTGTCTATATTCACTAGCAAGTTAAAATTACTCAGTCAAATTTATTTTTAACCTAAACCTCAATGAAAAGAAATTTCAGAATATGAAATGATTTTAATCATTGTTGCTAGTTACAGACTAGACACATAATGAAGTGTCCTTCCCCAGGAATTTCTAGATTAGAAAAATTATCTCAGTATAGAACATACCTACAGGTATATTATCACAGAAACAGCTTGTCTAAATTAACTTAGAATTAACCTAAGTTAATCCATTTTAATAATTCCAGCATTCTGTGTGTTGGTTCATGAGGGTTTAAAAATGAGATGACAACATTTTAATATTCACTTATTACTAGTTATTGTAAGAATCAATTCTGGATTACATTGTATGAATTCATACTATATCCTGGAATGTATAGTAATTAAAGACTTTTATAACATGACAGTTCTACTTTAAACTTACATGTAAAAGGAAAGAACTGGATATTCAAACTAATACAAATGACAAAGATAATATTCATAATCCAATATGATTTCTTAATTATATGGAGTCCCAGTGACTCAATCTTTAATGGAAATTCAATTTAGAAATTGATCCTTTCTTCTGACCACCAAGATGGCTCATCTGTGTCTGTCAATCTGTATTTATTCACCTATTTTTTAAAGAAATTGTCTTTGTCTTGACAGCTGTTAAATATAAATTGCCTTTGTGTGCTGTTCAAATCTTACAGCACAGGGTTCTTGAAGATCATAATAGCCCCTTTTACAAGATATCTAATTTGGAATAAAAATAAGCTTATAAGTGCATGGTTGGCAATGATTGTAAGACCATTTCACACTTCACTCTGTGAGCAATACTAAAGAAGAACCGGCTTCTGACAAAGTTCCAAATTTCCATGTTGTTTAGATTCTGCTTTAATCCTAACATATTAATTGCTGTGATAACTTAGTGAGTTTCTTTACACTTTGAAAACCTGGTCATCCTACGGAATTCTGTTGAAAATTCTAGCAGGAATGAATACTTTGCTTATCTGAAAATGCTTTATGCCTCATCACTGATGCTCATCATTTCGATAAGCGTAAAATTTATACAGCTTTACTGGGAAAGGTTTGTAAGTTGTAGTTTTAAACCATTAAAGATGCTTCAGTTGATGCCTATGAAATAAATTCTTCAACAGGGCCTCAGAACGGAAATTATTAATAGGTGCCTGATCACTTAGTGCACCGACCCCATCCAACCTTGCAGCATCAGAATACTGTGTATTGCATAGAATCTGTAGGTGGTTACCCATTTGGATTACTTTGTTCATTTACTCAGATTGCTCAAGGTGACTACTAAGTCTCACTATTCCAGGAAAAAGCTGGGAAAGTATCACCTTCTCTCAGTTGGATGTATAGGTGTCCCAGTGACTTCGTTTCTAAGGGGGTGATACATTAATAATTATAGACCTTCTTTCATCTTCAAGCCACTGAGGTGGGAATCACAAGGAGGCTTGGCTGAGCTGGAACATTACTTCTCACTTGGCAATCTTGCCCTGAGCTACTCCCAGGCTAAGAATTCCCATGTTGCTATTTCTTACCCTACCTTTTCCTATTGTACTAGCCTTGGCAGAGATGGGTAGAAATTCTCCCTGTTGTAGGTCCCAATATCAAATGGGTCACAGAGAGACTCAGCAAATCTGTGCATTGCTCTGATTGTGGCACTATTACTCACAGTCCCAAGGAATTGCTGCAGACTAGACCTGTGAAAGAGTCAAAATGTTGATGTTATTTGGTACTCGTCGAATGCCTGTTTGTAATATCACAGTGTATTGTGTAGCAGAAATGTTTTAGTCCTCGAGGATGAGCCAGGGTTTAAACTCCATTTTTCCATTTTCATCTTCTATCAAAGTCAACAAAATATTTGAGTAAAGCTGGTTTACAATATAAGTACATGAATGTGCTGCAAATATGTTGGATGGGGTCAGCACAGTAAGTAGTGAAGTACCTGTTAATAATTTCTGTTCTGAGGTCCTGTTCTAAGAGTCTATAATAATAATAACAATAATATACAATAATGGTACTGTTTATTGCACAATTTCCTAAATTCATACTGACCTAATACTGCCAAATGATGTGTGCACAGGCATTCTTTTTTCTGCTCCTAGGTTAGTTCCTTATTTACAATTTATATTTTGGCATTCACAGTCACTGTTATCGTGTATCTTCCCATGATACATTATAGTGGTCAGATTCTAAAAGAAATTCCCTTTAGATTTTATTTATTTATAATAGCTAGGGTAATTTAGGACATTTAGAAAACTTATTATTTCTGGGAATTTATGGGAAGAAACACAAAAACAGTGACTGGGAATACCAAGATGTAAACTGTAAAAAAGGTACTTACTAGGAACGGGATAAAAATGCCTTGCGCATATCGTCTGGCAGTTTTAGGTCAGTATAAATTTGGGAAGTTTTACAATGAAGAGCATCATTGCAGGGTTTTGCTCTGGATTCATAGTTCAGCAGAATAATCTTAAAATTTAGACAACTTTATTTAGACAACTAGAAGTTGGAATGTATATATATAGAAACAAAGATGCTTTTTAATAGCATGACATCGTGGGAAGACTTATCCAACTAAATTGTACAATGGTTGGTGAATAGATATCAAGAATTGAGGGCATTTAGTTTGCACTTGTTTCACGTACAGATAATTTAATATGTATATTGTGGTTGTAGTATAGTTTCCAATGTCACCAAATCCCAAATGTAGTTCTTTAGCAAATCAAATCCCGTTCTATATAATGAAAGGGAACCATCCTTCTATTTAAAATAAAGAAATTAGAGAATTGCTGGTTTTCTCTTTACAATAAAATGCATAATTATACTCCGATTCAATAGGCACTTGTGCTTTAATTCATCGAGTCATGTAGACATAAATCAGCCTATGCACAGTAAACTCTTAATTTATGACATTGCATGTTTAAAAAGAAATTAGGCCCATTTGAACAATCCATATAAGTGACCAACTATTCCAACAATCTCCCCTCCCCATCATATACATTAAAACATTACAATTTTATGTGACAAAAACTAAAACAAACCATTTCTTTCCAAACTAAAATGAGGATGCATAAATTAAGAGAAGCTTTTAATACAATGCAAGCAAATTCTGGAATGGGATTATATATAAGGAATCATACAATTAGTCCCTATTTAGATGCAACAGATAGATAAAGCAGATTATAATGTTACAATAATTCAGTTATAATTCAGTTCACTGTAATTCTACTTGTTTACATGTTAAACCAAATGGTACCCACTCATTGTATCTTTTCTTCCCTATTCATGTGCTTCCTTTGCAATCTCGACTTGTACTTCTTTTTGTACTTCTTGTTGCTCTGGAGTGTCGTAGCCCATAGTATTCCCTATAGGGAAATGAGCAAAGAAAGTGTGTGCCAGTTGCTGGATCTTTTCATAGTCTCCAATGCTTCGGAAATACTCCACATATCTCCAGAAATCAGTGGTGGAGTAAGGCCAATAAGGTGGGCTTCGTTTTTCCACATGGTGAGCTATATACGGAGGGAAAATCCACAAATGGATGCTTCTGACATGAGAATACAATGTGTTTGCCAGTAAAAAACAATTTAATAATATTGGCAACCTGGCTGTTGTATGCTACATAATTGCCAATGCAAATATAATCCACATAAATTGACTTCTGTATATGTATATAATACGGGCACCCTGAAATATCAATATATTTTCATTATAGTACTGATATTCATCATAAAAATACGTTAGCTGTACTGCAGATACATTGAAATAATACTATAAATCTAAAACAGGTATATTGATACCTAAATAATATGTGAATATAAATAATCTATAAATGCATATCATATCCTGATTATCAGTAAATAAGCACAAATACTACACATTCTAATATCAATGCAATATCACCACTTATGTTACCCATATATATCCTTAGCTTTGAAAATTCACAGTATTATGTCCAAATAAATTAGGGCTTAATGAAAACCACACATTGCCTTATAATTATATTTAAATTGTGTGATCCATACACAGAGCGTTGTAAGTATTTTATAAGAGTTGCTGCAGAAAATATGTTTGACATTTTATTTCAACTAACCTTTTATTACCTGCCAGCTTTCCACTGCCCATGCAGTCATTCAAGCTATTTGCAATACAAATGCCCGTTTGTATTCACCTTGCTGTGCTTTAAGCTTTCTTCTGAGGTGTAAGTAATTTATTTTCCCTCTAAATCTAAAGGATCGTCAATTTGCCTCTTTTGGATGTGAATCTTATTCCCGTTTTTCTTCTCTAACCTCTACTTTCTATCTGTAATGACACTTAAATAATCCATGGGTTTCAAATCCACAAACTACATTTCTATGCTGGGATGATTACAGCAAGGGTATATATCAATTATACAATAAAAAAAAATCACTGGAATAAAACAAAATGTATATAGTATATATAAAATGTCAATTTTTTTTACCATCTGACTGTCGGATTACACTGGCATCTGCAAATAAATAAATGGAGACATGATCAGAATTCAGCCACACAACTCACAAAGGGCTTTTCATGGCTCTGAAATAAAACACTTCACTTGAGCACTGCCAACATGGCATTTTAAACATTCACCTAGGCTACCGAACAAAATTAGAATCACCTTAAAATATTTTAAAATGTCAACATTAGTTTTTAGAGCTCATAGCAATTTTGAAGCTTTAAAATGATTCGCAACTAGATTTTACGAAACTTACCAGTCAGGATGTTCAGGACGAGAAATATAAATAGCCCAATACAGACAATGCACTTCATTTTAACTAATGAAAAAAAAATTAAACATCTAATCAGTCCCATCTTATTCAAATATTTAGCAGTGATTACAAATTAAACCATTTACGTGCTTTGCAAATAAATTTGCAAGTTTCAAACTAAATTTCATTTTATTTACAGATCAATGGTTCAATTTATACTTAAAGATTTTCTAAATAGAGCTTTGATACTTACACAGCTTTTAAGGGACTGCAGTAATTGAAAGAAAGGCTTCAAAATAAAATTGAGCTTCGGACTTTGAATGCGCTCCTGGCTAGCTTTGGGACAAAATGTTTAAATTGGCTTGGCCTAAATGACAAGAAAAAAAAACGTCACTTCTCTTGCTTGAAGATTTTTACAATATGCCCTTTCTATGAACAAATTCAGATCTGTTTCAATTTGTGAACTGACCAGTTTGTTTTTTTTTAAAAATCCAATAGCGCCCTCTTAAGTTTAAGCAGAAAAGGTACGCTTATAAGAATAAATCAAACTTTAATGGCACTGGTTTTACTGGAGAAGGGTATCTCAGAGTATTCCTCATTAGTTAGAATTGTTCATGTACATTTACATTTTAAACATGAAACTTGAAATTGCTGACAATTTGCTTCTGGCATGAGATCCCAGGCACTAAGGCTTACCTCCTTAATCTGTTTGTTATCAGCAGTCAGATCAGAAATAGGCAAGAACAAATGTCTTGGCCTTTTCCTGTTAACTGGCAGGTCCATAGCTTCTCGCATAAATATTTCTTTGCAGAAAACTTAGTGATTGTAATGACATCAGCCCGACGGTCTTCATAGAATATGAGTTCCCTGATTGGGGCTGTTAATCTGGTCCAATCAGGCAGCTCTGGCTGACAGATAAAAACATCAAGTCACTCTGAGAGCTGGCTCTGAGGTAGCTGGATCAGTGTCAAGGACTTTCCACATGTAAGTAAATGGTGACTTGGTGATAGGATACCAGCCTCTGTGGAGTTATTTCAAAGAATTCTATCTCTCCCCCTCAGATTTATAGAGTTGGACAGCACAGTAACTGACCCTTACCCGTCCATGCTGACCAGATATCCTAAATTAATCTAATCCTATTTGCCAGCATTTGATCCATATCCTTTTAAACCCTCCCTATTCGTGTACTCAATCAGGTGCCTTTTAAATGTTGTAATTGTTCTAGCCTCCACCACTTAATCTGGCAGTTTATACCATACATGTTCTACTCTCAGCATGGAAAAGGTTGCCGCTTAGGTCCATTTTATAATCTTTCCCCTCATACCTTAAACCTATGCCTTCCAGGTTAGGACTCCCCTACCCTGGGAAAAAGACCTTCGCCATTCACCTTATCCATGCCCCTCATGCTTTTATAAACCTCTATGAACAACTTTGGAGAATTTGGAAAACTTCAAAAATTGAGACCTAGTTTGGGGTTACTGGGATTTGAGTTACGATTAGGCAATGAGATATTTCCTAGCAGCTTCAAACTGTTTTTGTTCTCTATCTCTGTGCATGTGCAGTTCTAACTCCAGCCTTTGTTGCTGAAACTCCACGTCTCTGTCTAGCTTGTTCTCTGGCTAATCTTTCTTCTCTCTGAATTGGTGTTTCTACCTCCTTTTCTCTGGTTTTAAACTCCAACACTGTCTCTAAATTTTCCAGGTCCAATTGAGCTGAAATAAGCAGGCCAGGTTCTGATTCAGTTTCTGTGGTCTGGTCTGACAGTGGGTTGAATTCAAAATGTTCAGCCAGCATTCACAAGAATCCCTGTCTGTCTGTCTTGTTGGGGATTTGAAGTCCTACTTTTATAGCAATGGTTTAAATGGTTCATATCTAAGGACTATAACTTTTACCAACTTGAATGCTCCCAAATCAATGGTCAGTTAGCCTAACATCCACCATTAGGACAAATGCTGGAATATTTTTAAGGAAGGAATAACAGGGCATTTAAACAAGCTTAGTGCAATCAAACAGATTCAATTTAGCTTTGTGAAAGTGAAATCCTGTTTGACAAATTTGCTAGAGTTCTTTGAGGATGTAACAAGCAGTGTTGATAAGTCAGAACTCACAGATGTAGTACATTTGGGCTTCCAGAAGGCAGTCAATGAGGTGCCATCTAAAAGGAATTGCACAAGCTAGCAGTTCATGACATTGAGAATAATGTATTAACATGGATCGAGGATTGGTTAGCACAGTGAAAAAAGAGAGTCAGGCTTGATGAGTCTTTTTCAGGTCAGAAAGACAAAACTAGTAAAGTGTCACAAGATTCAGTCCTAGGACCTCAATTATTTACTATTTATATTAACAACTTAGAGGAGTGGGAAGAGTAATGGATCCAAATTGGCTGATGATAATAAAAACAGGTGGGAGGGCATGTTGTGATGGGGACGTAAAGAATCTGCAAGGGGATATAGATAGTTTGAGTGAGTGGGCAAAAACTTTGCAGATAGGGATTAATGCAGGCTTGTGTGAGGTCATGCACTTTGGTAGGAAGAAACAAAAGGCAAATACTTGAATGGAGAGAGAGACTCCAAAAAAGTTTTGTACAGGAGGACCTGGCTGTTTCTGTTCATGAAACATAAAAAGTTAACACGCAGGTGAAGCAAGTCATTAAGAAAGTTGGAATTTAAAAATAGGAATAGTCCCAACTGTACAGGGTATAGTGAGGCTGCACCTAGAACACCATTTGCAATTTGGTCCCTATATTTAAGATCATAGATCATAGATCATAGAACAGTACAGCAGAGTACAGGGCCTTCGGCCCACGATGTTGTGCTGACCTATTATCCTACTAAGATCAAACTACCCTGCATATCCTACATTTTGCTATCCGCCATGTGCCTATCCAAGAGTCACTTAAAAGTCTCTAAAGTATCTGACTCCACTACCACTGCCAGCAGTGCATTCCACACACCCACCACTCTCTGTGTAAAGAACCTACCTCTGACATCTCCCCTATACCTTCCTCTAATCACCTTAAAATTATGCCCCCTCATAATTGTCATTTCTGCCCTGGAAAAAACTCTCTGACTATCCACTCTATTTATGCCTCTCATATATTGCCATTGAAGGCTGTTCAAAGGAGCCTGACTAGGCTGATTCCTGGGATGGAGGGTGTTAACTTATCAAAAACAATTAAATGGGTTGGGCCTTTATTCATTCAAGTTTAGAAGAATGAGGGATGATCTTATAGAGACAGGCAATATTTTAACAGGGTGATGTTAAGAAGATGTTTCCATGAGTGGGGAATTTTGAACTTGTACAAATTAAAGAAAAAGGGGAAATTCTTTTGAAACTGAGATGCAAAGGAATTTCTTCTCCCAGAGGGTAATGAATATCTGGAATTCTCCACCCCAGAGAGTTATGCAGGCTGGATACGATGTTATTTAAAGAGATAGATTTTTGAAATATCAAGGAGTTAAGGTCTATGAGGAGCTGGTTTTAAAGAGGAGTTGAGTTCAGGGGCAGATTAGCTTTGATCTTTTAGAATAGCGGGCAGGCATAAGTGGATCAAATAGTTGACTGCTGCTCCTAGTTCTTGTGTTGTTATGATTGATAAGGTCTTGATCATCAAAAGTCACCATCTCACATAATTATTAATACTTATACAAAACAAGATCTCATCATTGTAAATCTAGTTTGGTTTTTAAACAGGTTGATTCTGATACTTTATTTCCACTTCCATGTTAATTGCAAATCAAATTCAGCTTGTTTCGCAGTGGAGTAAATCTTAACTTTTGTTTGAATTTTGGCTTTGGCTTGTCATCCTCTCTTGTACATGAAGTTCCAGTTGTCAGACATATCCACTGTTTGGCCAATATACTGTGAATTAATAAAACTAATTTATCCCCCTTTTTTATTTTGTGAGATTTAAGCTAAAGTAGATTAGCAATTTATTTAAATAGGTTAAAGGTTACTTCATTACAAGATATTGTTGAAGACGCCTTAAAAACAAAGAAAAATATTTAGTAAATAAAAATTACAGATACTGATTTAAACAAATACGGATAAGACAAAGGAAAAATTATAAGATAAAAGATCCAA